AAAAACCTTTCAAAAAAAAAAAAAGAAGAAGAAAGAAAGAAAGAAAAGAAAAGAAGAAAAGAAGAGAAAAGAAAAGAAAAGAAAAGAAAAGAAAAGAAAAGAAAAAAGAAAAGAAAAAAGCATTTTGGAGCCAGCCCGTGGAGTGGTGATTAAGGCAGCTGGATCCCACAGTCAACCTCACTGTCTGAGTCCCCTGGCACAGTGGCTTGAGAAACACACTGGATGCAAATACATGTGGGCCCAGAATTCTGAAAAGAGAGAAATGGAGTAGAAGGGATTGTGGTGTGACCATTCCCCGTGGCACTCCCCATGACTTCTCGCTTTCCCTCTTTCTCTGTTTCCCTCTGCTCTGTTCACATACCCACTGGCAAATTTTTTAAAAAGGCATCGTGATAGCTACTGTTATGGACTCAATGGGTCTGCCTCTGAAAGGTACAAGTCAACAATGTAATAGACCATTTGTCTGGAGAGGAAGGGTTTACTCCTTGTACAAATAAGGAGAGCATCCAGGGATCATTCCCAATGGAATATCTTCCCGAAGTAAAAGACTTTTTAGGAACCAGGATCTGGTGGGTGAGATCATTGCATGTAGAGGCAGAGTCTCTGGTGCATGCTAAGAAGTAACCCATGCTTCCCCATACATCTCAAATTATACTAATGAAGCTATAGCTTTTCTTGGGGGCGATATTTAGTATTATAATGAGCAAAGTTCAGCAAAGGTCAGTGTCTTTGGTTCAGTATCTGATTATACTGGTTCTATTTGAATTGTAGCTGCAAGCCTCTTCTTTTTTTTTTTTTTAAACTTTCTTCTTATTATTGCTATTATTTTTATTATTTACTTACTTTTTGTTTCATTTTCTTTTATACATTCAATCACATTATTTAGCTTACAAAGTGAATTTTTCAACATGTGAACATTTGCGAGCCTCTTCTTAGAAGGAGATGTTCCTGAAAAACAACTCAGACTTATATCTTCTGTTCAGCTAACACTACTGGTATTATATATATTAAAAAGATAAAACCATACAGGAATAAGTTGCAGATTGTTCTAGTTTTTGTTTTTTTTTAAGAATTGTTTTATTTAATCTTTCTTTCTTTCTTTCTTCTTCTTTCTTTCTTCTTCTTTCTTTCTTTCTTTCTTTCTTTCTTTCTTCTTTCTTTCTTTCTTTCTTCTTTCTTTCTTTCTTTCTTTCTTTCTTTCTTTCTTTCTTTCTTTCTTTCTTTCTTCTTTCTTTCTTCCTTCATTTCCTTCCTAATTTATTTCTTTAAACTTGACCAGAGAAGGGGGGAGAGAGAGAGAGAAAGAGAGAGAGGGGGAAAGTGAGAAAGCAAGTCGCCAGGTCCAGGACTCAAACTTCAGTTGGCCATGTGGGAGTCCAGTGCCTTTAACCACCACACCAGTTTTTAAAAGCATAGTCTTTTTAAAAATTACAAATAGAAGCAACAATTCTGATCAATTTTCTTTAATTGCCAGAAGGCACATTCACTTGCTAGAGAGAGACAGAGAGAAGGGGAAGGTAGGGAGAAACTACTCTTGCCACAAGCCTCTATCCTCCATTTCTCCATTCTGTGAGGATTTGGGGCATACATGCACATATTCTTGGCATGTCCTCCAAATATTTGGGGCCAGGATTCAAACCAGTGTTGACCATATGGTATTCAGCTCCCTTAACCACCAGGCTACTGGGCCAGCTCCTGATCAAGTTTTTAAACTGTTCAGGGCCAGCAGGTGGTGTGGTGGTTAAGGCACTGAATCCAACATGGCCAACTCTGTGGTTTGAGTC